AGAGTAGGTAATCACAGCAGCACAGAGGCTCTCCACCCAGACTGTGCATCAGAACCACCCAGGAAGTTTTGTGTTTTAAATATGCCCAGGTCGGGGGCTTCCCTGGTGGCGCAGTGGTTGAGAGTCCGCCTGCCGATGCAGGGGACACGGGTTCGTGCCCTGGTCCGGGAGGATCCCATATGCCGCGGAGCGGCTGGGCCCGTGATTCATGGCCGCTGAGCCTGCGCATCAGGAGCCTGTGCTCCGCAACGAGAGAGGCCACAACAGTGAGAGGCCCGCGTACCGCAATAAAACATTTTTAAAAATTAAAAAAAAAAAAAATTTGCCCGGGTCTATCCCTGCAAAATAAATCAACCTCTGGAAGCAGAGCATTTTCTGAAGTTCCCCAGCTGATGCTGATGCTCTGGGAGACATGAAAACCCTGGAGAGGGATGTGATGGGTGCTGTGGGGCAACGTGAGGGCACATAAAAGAGGTGCCCACCCACATGAGGAAGACAGCAGCGCTAGAAAAAGTGGGGTGGACGGGGGCCTGAAGGATGGCTAGAATTGGCACGTGAAGAGGTGTTTGTGTGTGGGGCGAGGAGTACAGAGGCTGTAGACACACATGTTCCACAGAGGAAATTTACATGCACAAAGTCCTAGGGATAAGAAAGAACTGCTTGGGCTTCCCTCGTGATGCAGTGGTTAAGAATCCGCCTGTCAACGCAGGGGACACGGGTTCGAGCACTGGTCTGGGAAGATTCCACATGCCATGGAGCAACTAAGCCCGTACGCCACAACTACTGAGCCTGCGCTCTAGAGCCCGTGCTCCGCAACAAGAGAAGCCACCACAATGAGAAGCTCTCGCACTGCAATGAAGAGTAGACCCCACTCACCACAACTAGAGAAAACCAGCGTGCAGCAACAAAGACCCAACACAGCCAAAAATAAATAAATAAAATAAATTTATAAAAAAATGAACGAACTGCTGTGGAGAAGGAAAAGCTCACCCTAACTGCAAAGCTCTGTTTCCATGTGGGGATAGGAGGGCACGAAGGAGAAAGGCTGGAGCAGTTAGCAGGGGCCCCAGGAGGCAGAGCATTTACAGCGCAGGCTGTGAGGATGGGGGAAAGCCACCCAGGTTTTCAGGCAGAACCCTGAATCTATAAGCAGAGACAGTTGGAAAGCAAAAACTAGCTAACTTATAATAAATTTTAGGTTTGCTTTCTGTGAAAATGGTGTTATTAATAATAACTATGAATCCATCTTAAAAACACCTCCACATACCAGAAAATGACCCAGTTCACAACAATATATATACACATACACATATGTAAATTTCTCTGACCTAGTTACAAATTCTATTACACAGAGTATTCCTCTAGTACATACGTCTTTACTACTCTCCACGTAATGGAAACATCCTGTTTTGGTTAAGAGCCCTGATGACTGGCAAAGCACCTTATTGTGTGTATCTACGACCAGCAGATCAAGGAGGCCAGCAAGGAGAAAACACGAATGGCCCTAGAAAAAGGCATAATACATATTTAATCTCCTAATTCTGACCTTATATCAACATACTATAGCAGTTGTTTTCCATGTAAGTTAGACACTACCAGTTATGTTTGTGAGTCTGAAGTTTAGCTCTACACTGGGCCTAGAATTTGGCCCCAAAACCACAATGTGACCCTGACAGAAAAATGTGGCTAATTCTTTAAGTAACACAGAATTTCCAATTTTCTAATTTTTATTTGGGTTACAATTGAGAACGTTAATTTAACAACGTGATAGGGGTTGGCAGTAATATCTATTAGTACAAATGTGTTTATGTTTTATATAAATTTGCAGTTAATCAACTACACTAATAATAAATATAGGAGTTATCTTTTTATTGGGGTCTCTTTCACATTCATGTTTCTCTCACAGGTTAGAAAAACAAACCTTCCTGCAGGAATTGACAAAGGAAAGGAAAGAAGAAGCTCTTACTGGCTGGGATCCACTTCTGGCACTTGTCGCAGAAGTAGGACAGCTGCTCCTCCATCCACGACACGTCCCCTTCATCACTGTTCAGGGAGTCCCCGCTCTGGTCATGAGACAAGTCCACAGACGCCTGGTCCTCTGACTCGACGATCAGCAGAGTCTCCCCCTCCACCTCCCCCTCCTCCAGCCCCTCCGAGGTGGACGTTCTTGTGGCTTCATCGTCGTGCCGACTGATCAAACTGCTCAGATGGATGTTACTCTCCATCCCTCCCAGCTTGCAGGTTCAGTGCTCTCAGGAACAATCCCAGTTTCTGGACACTAAGCTTGAAGGGGCTCCTTGCTGACCACATAAACAAACTCTCAGAAGAGCATCTGCCTGACTCTACTCAGACACAAGGGGCACTTAAAGCAATTATTTAGAATATACGATCCATCGTCCTTTTTCTGATCAAGTTTAAAAGGACAGTGACCACAAAAAGGCTGAAGATCTCACTAAGCTGTTCTCCATCAACACTCACACACACTTAACGCTGTCTGTTCCACCAATATCTCACACGCATTTCAAGTCACGTTTTTTGAGATCCTTTTGCCAACACCATCTTTTCTCTTTCTGCTTCAAGTTGCTCAGTCAGAAGAATCTGTTCTCCCAAAAGACGAATATTTTCTTTTTTCCGATTTTGCCTCTCAATGTCTCTGATCACTCCGTCACGAAGCCTCTAAAAATGTTAAGAAACAGATTTTAGTGAAACTCGGAACAGGTGGTTCCCTTCCTTGTGTCATTCAAGTCCTAAAATCAGTGTTACCAAAATACACTTAAAACTCTCAGATTCCAAGTACTCAATTTCTATTTTAACTTTCTGTGTAGATGTAAATGTAATAAACCATCAAATTAACTTGGTAGCGTGATAGTATTATTACAGACCTCTCATCATACTTTAAGAAATTTTGCATCATTTAATATAAAAATGGGAAATAACAATTAAAAAAGAAAAACTGCCACTACGCTGAATTTTAAAAGTTTAGTTAATATACGGTGCTTTAAAAACTTGATGAGGGACTTCCCTGGCGGTCCAGTGGTTAGGACTCCGCACTTCCACTTCAAGGGGCATGGACACTATCCCTGGTCAAGGAACTAAGATCCTGCAAGCAACGGCTCAGCCAAAAAAAAAGAAAAAACAACTTGATGAGAGTTACTTGAGTAACTGTGAACTACATTCCTGTTAGCAATTGTCCTAATTGAATAATAAACATCCAAGAAAGAAAATTACTAAAATTTGAACAAACTGTAAGGATGCAAGAAAGTAAAGAACTCGGCTTCTTCTATTATGTACAGAGAAAAGGTAAAAATTACAATTACATAATGGGGAGAGAAGGGGAAAAAGAACGCTACCAGCAAAGGAAAAAATAACGGCCCATTGATGGTCGTTACTCTGATAAACACTAAAGACAGGTAGAAAATTCCAGAATATGGACCTGGCATCTAAGATGAGACTTTCTAAAGCATCAATCCAGTCATTACTAGTAACTTACACTTTACAGGTCATAAAATACTCCAATAACTTAACAGTGGCCTTGTGAGGCAGAATAATGGGGGCAAGGCCTGGGGCCTGGGTAGGGTTTTTTTTAGTTACTATTATGTCTATTTTAACAACTCACCAAGTACCTACTTGCTGGCCCTCCTCCAGGCCTAGGGCTCCAGTCCCCATTACAGGGGAAGCTGGGTAATTTAAGAGTCCTGGGACTGATAACACAACTGAAAACCAACTGTCCTGAACCCTGTGCCCCTGGCAAGATCTCCAGGCAGAATCGGAGGCTCTCATTCCACTCCTCCCTCCCCAGCTCATCCTCTCCTGTGCTTCTTCCATCAGGACACACCTACACACGCCACCCAAGCCCCAAAGCCCACACCGTCCACACCTGCTCTGAGGTCCTCCCCTCCTTTCTCAGGGACTTCAGCACTCGGGTTGGGATCTTGCTCTCCATCCAGCATTCGCTAGTCTCCTCCAGGTTTCAAAGTCTGTGCCAGCTGCCTCGCACATCCCTCCTGCAACTTCCACTTGACTACCTTGCTAAGCTCCGAGGCCGCTTCAGCATCACAGCTCTAACTCCTAGGACGCGGCTCCTCCCGTAGTGCTCACTGCTGGTTTTGCTGGGCTCCTGTGATGATCAAGGCTGACGTATGTAAAATGCTTAGTACAGCGCCTGGGACGTGGCACTCAGTCAGGAAACAATGGGGGACAACACTCATCGTTTTATTTCTTGCTTCCTTGAACCTTCCAACACACCCACTGTGTCAAACATTTGTCCTCCTCTTTCCCGCTGCTAGAAAGTAACCCCGCAATGAATAATTGGACGTAAAACAAACACAGGTTATTCCGGTCAATCTCAACCTCTAACTTCCAAATACCTAAACCTTACACTTGTCCCATTCTGACAGTGGTTCTCAACCCTGGCTGCATGTTAGAATCCCTGGGTCGCTTTTAAAGCGTACCTAAGTGGGATCCGCATCCCCAAGAGATTCTGATTCAATAGGTCAGGAGCAGGGCCCAGGCTGCTACCTGGTAAAAACTTCCAGGAACAATCGCAAGTGTAGCTGGAGATCAGAACCAAGCGTTCACCCAGCCGTACTCCATACTCGGAAAATCCCTGCTCGCTGACCTCAGAGCTACATCTGACATAGCATCTTCTACCCTATCTCAAATTTTCTCCAGCCACCATCTTTTCCTTCTTAGAGAAGAAAATCTCCCGCTTCTGTTCCAAAAGCTAACCCCTTAGAACGGCTACATTAATCCCAATCTCTAATCTCTTCCGCGCCCTGTCACCATTAATCATTTCATTCCCTCCCCTAAAATCTTGTATCATCACAGGCTTCCTCTCCTCTGACTTCCAGAGTGTGAACACGGGACAAAGGCCTCACCTGCTGCATCTCTGCACCCCGAGCACCCGGCGCGGTCCCACGCAGACAAGCCTGTTTACAGTGACTTACCCAGCGTCCTGCGTCCACCTCGGGTCAACCGGGCTCCACCGCACCCCTCACCCCCCCACACACACACACCCCGGTTACCCCCGCTCGCGCTCGGCCTTCGCCCCCGGAGCAGCTGTGCGTATTCATCTCTGTTTCCCGAGGCGCCCGGGGCGGAGCGTGGCGCACGGGGGCCCGGCAGTAACGTCAGCCGATGGGAAAAGGAAGAAAATAAGACTGGGAGACACAGCAAGACTGACAGGCCTCTGAGCGATCAAGTCAAGGATGTTTCCCCACATAAAACCACCGCAAAGAGAAAAATTGGAGGCCGCTATCTCTATCGTCCCCAGAATCTAGTTTCCATAGCAAACTGTTCCTTAAGAAGGAAAAACCCACCCCCCACACGAGTATATCTCCCAATTCCCGAAAGCGAGAGGCGGGGGAAGCCTCACCAGCGCTTCGACACCCGCGGGGCGGGGGCGGGGCCGGCCCAGAGCACCGGGGACCAACGCCCACACTTCCCGGATGCCCCAGGGAGCGGTCTCCCCGCCTCGGAGGAAGCGGGAGGAGAGAAAGAAAAGGCGAGGAGGAAGCGGCGCCACGCGGAGCCGGACCCCAGGCCCCAGGCCTCCGCCGCCGCGCGGGCCCGAAGGCGCGGGCACCTGACACCTACCTGCTGGTCCTGCCGCTGCTTCATATGCACGCCCGCCACGGTGGCCGCCGTCAGCACCACCGAGAGGCCCAGCACCACCTTCGAGCTCCCCGACATTCCAGCGCCGGCCGCCGCGGCCTCCGCTCCCCGTTTCCCAGGCCCAGGGCCGTCGCCGAGCGCGCGCCCTTGCCGGGGCGGGCCAGGCTCGACCCCTCGAGCGCAGAGCCCCAGCTGCCGCCAGGCGCGAGCAGTCGAGAGCCGAGCTCCGAGCTATGCCCAGGTTCCGCGGAAGGCGCGGCTTCCGGTAGGGCCTAGGAATCGCAGGCATCCCCTCCCTGCCCTGCGGGCGGGCGGGTAATAACACTTCCAAGAGCCCCGGCCCAGAGCTGGCCCCAGCACCACCCAAGGCGGGGTTCCAGGCCTGAGCCTTCTCAGTTCATTACCCGCCCCCAGCGGCGGGAGAGTCCGGGGGGCGGGATGCCGGACCCGGTACCTTGCGGACCGTTGACCGCGCGCATCCCTTCGGAGCGCGGGGCTGCCTCGCTCAATGCCAGCCTCACCAAACGCAGCCCTCGTTGCCCTTTCGGCGGGGAGGTGCCAGGAGATGGAGTTTTTCTCCTTAGATGCTGTAGACACGGTCACCTGCTTTCACCTTGACGCTGTGGGGTGGCGGGTCAGGTCTGGTTTTTCTTGACATCAAAAAGCCTTCTGGCTACAGAGCAAGCTCTCTGGGCAGCGGCACGTCTTCGCCTGCTGGCACGAAAGGCGCTGTCCCCTTGTCGCCCAGGTAATCCTTGTGGCATCCCTTCTACACCCAGTTCCCGCCCTCAGATGCCCGAAATGATCGAGCGAAGCAGAGCGTCGAGAACCGCCGCAGAAGGTACTGTGCAAGGTGCACACAGAGGTTGGGCTTTCCAGTGAAAAGGTATTATCATCAAGTCATTCTTTCCCACTAGAATTCCCAAAGGACAAACTTCCTCCTGGGCAAGCAACTGTGGACGCTGTTGATTTGGGCTGAGTCTCCGTTAGCCTCACCCCAGGGCTTCTTCGACATTGATCTCTGTAGTGCCTTGCTGTTCCATCGTCTGTTGTGAGAGCGTCAATGGCTTGAGGTGAGTGTTGCTCTCAAGAAATGTAATAAGGGCTTCCCTGGTGGCGCAGTGGTTAAGAATCCGCCTGCCAATAAGGGGACATGAGTTCGTGCCCTGGCCCGGGAAGATCCCACATGCTGCAGAGCAGCTAAGCGCGTGTGCCACAACTACTGAGCCTGAGCTCTAGAGCCCGCAAGCCATAACTACTGAGCTCACGTGCCACAACTACTGAAGCCTGCGCGCCTAGAGCCCGTGCTCTGCAACAGGAGAAGCCACAACAATGAGAAGCCCGCACACGGCAACAAAGAGTAGACCCTGCTCACCGCAACTAGAGAAAGCCCGTGCACAGCAACGAAGACCCAACGCGGCCAAAAATAAATGGATTAATTAATTACTTTTAAAAAGAAATGTAATAAGATAAAAATAAATTTAAAAAACGCAAATACCCTTTTCAAATGTCATTTTGTCTGCAGCATTTTTCTCAGCAGAGGAGGAAGCACCATTGAATTGGAGAACGGGGTCCCTGTGCTGACCTTGGAGTTAGAAGCAGTTTAATTCAGGACATATTTGGGTGTTTAGTCTCTAAAGAAAAAAAAATCTATATTCGACTGCTTTTTACTTGTGGTAGATTCCAGGTATTTTTTCCTCTAACTCAGTGCATCTTCAGTAAAGCTGCGTGTCTTTAGAATGTATGTCAGAGTGAGATGGCCTTTCATTCTATCATGACTGATGTTTCAGCTTGTTTTCTTGAAATGTATTGTTATTCTACTTTTTAAAATCCCTTATGGGGGGACTTCCCTGGTGGTCCGGTGGTTAAGAATCCACCTTCCAATGCAGGGGACATGGGTTCATATCCCTGGTCGGGGAACTAAGATCCCACTTGCCATGGGGCAACTAAGCCCGTGTGCTGCAACTACTGAGCCTTTGTGCCACAACTAGAGAGAAGCCCACCTGTGCACTCTGGAGCCCTCACACCACAACTAGAGAGAAGTCCGTGCTCTGCAACGAAAGAGCCCTCATGCCGCAACAAAGATCCTGCATGCCGCAACTAAGACCCAATACAGCCAAATAAATAAAATAAAATTTAAAAAAGAAAATAAAATCCGTTATGGGGAATTCTCTGGCGGCCCAGTGGTTAGGATTTGTGTTTTCACTGCCAGGGCCTGGATTCATTCCCTGGATGGGGAACTAAAATCCCACAAGCGGGCTTCCCTGGTGGCGCAGTGGTTGGGAGTCCGCCTGCCGGTGCAGGGGACGTGGGTTCGTGCCTCGGTCCAGGAGGATCCCACGTGCCGCGGAGCGGCTGGGCCCGTGAGCCATGGCCACTGAGCCTGCGCGTCCGGAGCCTGTGCTCTGCAACGGGAGAGGCCACAACAGTGAGAGGCCCGCGTACCGCAAAAAAACAAACAAACAAAAAAAAACACCTTAAAATCCCGCAAGCTGCCAGTCACCACCCAAAAAGAAAAAAAAATCCTTTATGTGTTAACGGTGTCAAATTCAGAAATGGATTATCTGTTTAACTATTTGTAAACCTAAGCAGGATGTTTTCTGTGGTTATTGTCACATAAATTACAGAGTTGTGAGAGTGACTGCACATCATCAAACATTGAAACCAAATTTTTTTTTCATTAAACAATTTCCATCTAGTCTCAGTATATTTTTAAGTGTGTCCAGTATGTTTGAATAAAAACAGTTTTCTGAGACAACTTGAAGAGTTTCTACCAATGAATACATTTTCAAAAAGGAAAGTCCAGACTTGCTGGTTGGCTCATTTTTTTTCCAACAGACTCTGATTGAAATTACCAGGAGCAGTAGATTCAAGGCAGCCCCCATCCCTCACGCAGCTGAACACCTGGAAGGAATACAGACTAGTATCAAATAAACACAATAAAAAAGACAGGGAGACAGGTGATTGTTATCAGTCAAGTAGCAGTTCTTATGTTCTGCGTGTTTGTGTCTCCCTCAAATTCTTATGTTGAAATCATAATCCCCAACGGGATGGTATTAAGAGGTGGCACCTTTAGAAGGCAATTAGGTTTAGATGAAGTCATGAGGGTGGGGCCCCCATGTGGGGGTTAGTGTCCTTATAAGAAAGAAAAGAAACTAGACATACAAACAGATGGCACCTGCAAACCAGGAAGAGACCCTCACTAGAACCTGACCAGGCAGGCACCCTGATCTCAGACTTCCCAGCCTCCGAAACTGTGAGAAATAAATGTCTGTTGTTTAAGCTGCCCAGTCTATGGTATTTTTGTTATAGCAGCCCAAGCTGACTAAGACAGCAATTATCTGTTCCCCAAAGTTAAGTCCAGGTGTGGATCTACTGCTCCAGAGTCAGCATCACCTGACACAGGAGAAGGTTCAAGACCCAGATCTCTGTCAGGACCTTCCAGCACTCTGGGAGCCAGGTGCCAGCTTGTCTTGAGTTCTTCACTCCCTTCCTGTCTGTGGTAAATCATCACTAATGCCTACTCAATGGAAAAGTCCTGCTTAACCACTGCGTGAGAGGTGGTCCTGAAGTAATCACAGAAATAAGTACAGGCAGAGCTTCTACTATAGGGTGGAAGATTTAAAATTGAGGCCCACGCACCCACAGGGAGGGTGAAAAGAGTCACTTCATGATGTGCAAACCCTCAGCACGTTCAGGCACCATGCACATTTTAAAGCTGTTTATCCTTGGACCAGCATCTCCTCACTTGCCCCACCCCCCAGCCCCTAGCAACCACCATTCTACTCTCTGCTTCTGTGACTTTGACATTTTTAGATTCCACATATAAGTGACAGCGTAGTGTCTTTCTGTGTCCAGCTAATTTCACTTAGCATAATAAAATGTCCTCCCGGATTTCCTTCTTTTTTATGGCTGAATAATATCTCGTTGTATACATATCCCACACCTTCTTTATCCATTCATCTGTCAGTGGATACTTAGGTTGTTTTCATATCTTGGCTATCTTGAATAATGTTTCAATGAATGTGGGGATGCAGATACTCTTCGAGATCCTGATTTCATTTTGTTTGGATATATACCCAACCGTGGGATTGCTGGATCATACAGTAGTTCTAGTTAATTTTTTGAGGAACCTCCATACTATTTTCCACAATGGCTGTACCAACTTACTTTCCTACCAATCAGTGCACAAGGGTTCCCTTTCACCACATCCTCACTAATGCTCGTTATCTCTTATCTTTTTGGTTTTTTGTTTTTGTTTATCTTGGCCGAGCCACTCAGCATGCAGGGATCATAGTTCCCCAACCAGGGATTGAACCCCGGGCCCCAACATTGAAAATGTGGAGTCTTAACCACTGGACCGCCAGGGAATTCTCTTATCTTTTTGATAATAGCCGTTCTAACAGGTGTCTGTGATATCTCATTGTGGTTTTGATTTGCATTTCCCTGATGGTTACTGATGTTGAGTACCTTTTCATGGGCCTGTTGACCATTTCAATTATAAGATAAATAAATTCTGGGGATCTAATATACACAGTGGTGACTATAGTTAAAAATACTTGTATACTGGAAATTTGCTAGGAGAGTAGATCTTAAGTATTCTCACCACACAAAAAAAAGGTAAACTATGTGAAGTGATGGATGTGCTAATTACCTTGATTGTAGTAATCATGTCACAATGTATATCAAATCATCACAGTGTACACCTTAAGCATGTACAATTTTTATTTGTAAGTATACCTCAATAAAGTTGGGGAAAAAAGAAATTTTAGAAAAAATTTTAAGGACCAAGAAGAAAAATAAATTATGTACATACACACACATATACACACTCAAAAAAGAGAGAAATGTAGCATTGACACCCGATACAACACAGATGAATATTGATATCTTAAACCCATTATGCTAAGTAAAAGATGCTAGTCACAAAAGACCAGGTATTGTATGATACCATTTATATAAAATGTCCAGAATAGGCAAATCCATAGAAACAGAAAGTAGATTACTGGTTGCCAAGCGCAGGGGGTGTTGGAAGGTGTGGTGTGACTGCTAATGAGTTCTTTTTGGGGAGATGAAATGTTCTAGAATTAGATCATGGTGATGGGTTCACAGCTCTGTAAATCTACTAAACCACTGAATTGTACACTTTAAAAGGGTAAACTTCAAGGTATGTTAA